TATATATATATATATATATTATATATATATATATGTATATATATATGTATATATAGATATTGCAAATTACGTCAACACGTGTATATGTTTATATGGCTTGTATGTGTATATCTATGTGTATATTAAGTCTGTTCCATGTGGCGTCGCGATAATTGGAAATGTTTGCAAGGCAATCACTCGCTTAGATATGTGTATGCATGCACTAGTCCATCTTTGCAATTCGCACGCTTGGATATACATCCCAGTTGTGTTTGTATTTATGAATATACTAACTTGAGTAAATGACGTATTATTTGAAAAATATTTTTGCCAACAACCTTGAGCTTCTTAACCACTTGTGTGTCAGTGAACTGCTTGTCATGTCTCGTTTGAAAATGTAAGTGTTATGAACACTGTGAATCGATGCTATTGTAGTTTATACTAGTATTAATATATACACTATGTGTAGCATTGTGATTCGTATACGAATCACAAAATGGACATAAATTGTCAACCATTGAGTGTATTGTTTCTAATCTTTAAACACTGTCAATCGACGTCACAGTTTTCTTCTCTGCGACTGCGTAAGAAGAATGTCGTAAGAGGGAAACGAGGTATGTGTACGTTGACGTCGAATCAATCCTTACGGGAATTTGATTGCATACTCCACCTGGAGTATTTCTTTTCCACACATAAACTTCTTTCTTGGTCGAACGTGAGTATGCCCTAGTGACAACACACAATTTCGATATAAAGCATTGGATGATGAAAAATAGTAAATTCTCGAAAACCGTTTTTAGGAGAACACATGTTGAATTCAGTGCGTGTTCTAAGCATTAAATTGTGGATCAAATGATCACACTTGCCTGTGAGAAAACAGTTATGCGCTCAAGTACAGGAGTGTCTGACCATCGCAAGTGGTTGTTCGGTTGTGCATAGCATATATATGTCTATAGCTCAAATAGCTCGCATCATAGATCCCGCCATTATATTGTGACCGTCTCTTCCAACCTTAATATGTTTTTGTATTTTACTGGCCAGTTTGTGAACTACTACGAGTTTGGACCCTTTTTGGATCGAGTCCATTCATATACTTACTCCCAGGGCATAGACCAGTTTGTAAACCAAATCCGCCACCCCATCGTCTAATTGTTATTCTTAACGTATTGTTGAGTTTGCGCAAGTGATGTGACCCCTACAGAATGTTTTTCAACCCGTCCATGTATCCAGGTCTACTTTTCTTGGTTCCAGCGAGAAATATAATATACACAGATACATAGTTATTCAATATTAAACTACCACTGAGTTATTTTCAATATATCCTTCTTCAGTCAAGCCTGCCGACCCTATCATCAACAACAAGAAGATCTATCTGGAAACAATGCAATTGATATTGATTGAGCAGGCCAGGATACTCAGCCGACAAGAAGGCATCCCCACGAGTCTGGAAAGTATGTACCTGAATGGTGTAGCACTTGCAACCTCCTGTGTGTACACTACCACACGTTTCGTTGTGAACGTTCAATTGTAACGTTCAACTGTCTTCCTACAAGCATAGTGCATCGCTTTCTTTGGTGGCAGCTCCCGCAATCGTATTTGTTTTTAGGAAATGGTCCTGAAGGAGGTATCTAGTCGTATCCCAAATAAACGGTCATATCATGGGATATTACTGTTCATCATAGTATATTCCGTTTTGATATCTATATATATGGGTTTCTATGTCGGCTTTACACAATTCCCTATATCATATAGAACGTTGTATTAAGTTGTGGCGGTCATGGTGTATCGTAGTGAGCTAACTTAACTTTACAACAACAATTTAATCTATTTCTGTTATGTACATGCCTTGACCGGTTCGGTTTGTATGCGACGCAACAGTTTCGAACCTACACACTACAGCCCTTATTTCAAACATCAAGCATCTGAGACTATCCTATAGGTTGATATTTTGGTCTACCGATCGAAATCATTTGCATTATTCGCTTTAGCGCGTAGCCCTTCGAGTTGTCACTATATAGTGTTGCGCCCAGGCCTTTGCTCGCTCTCAGAGTAGCAAAAATTCACCATGTGCAACAGTTCACGTCTATCTATGTAGCTTTAGTACATCTATTAATAGCACACACCTTCCTGTCTACCTGGCAGATACTGTGCGGAGTCTTTGGTTTCGCTGGCTCGAGCTGTCGCAGCTGTGCAACAAGCAAGATAAGCCACCGGGAGATGGCGAGGTAGCCGGTGAAAAAGATAAAGATAAGAAAGCGCCTGAGGCCGATGCGGATAGTGACAGTGATGATGAGCAAGATCCAGTGGATCTAGATGTAAACACTGAGTCAGATCTGGATGATTTCGATACGGACTACGAATCGGATGACTCACAAACCAATGCAAATAAAATTCCCGTGCCAAATATCAAGGAGGACGAAGATATAGACACGGACGAAGAGATGAGGAAGATTGACGAAAAGATAGGAAAAAGGCGCTACACAAAGCGTGCACTGGAGCAAAGAGAGTGTAAGAAGCCCATATATGTTTGTATTCGAATAGAGAGTAAGACAAATTCGTGTTTGAGATAGAAATTGCCGGTCTACATGTTTGTAGTGAAGGACAAGATAAGTTTTGACTGTTATAATATAGCGAAGCAGTCAGCAAACCCAATGTAAACATATATATATATATAT